TCCAAATGGTGAAAAAATATGTATTGTGTTAATTCATGAAAGTTGTTATTAGAATAAAATAGGAATTTTATAACAAATACTATACATTTTTATTTTTATTTAATGTTCTGCCCAGACATGTTCTTCCTGGGCTGATAGTTAATTGCAGTTTTGGTTTTGACCGTTTTCAGTTGTGAAAAGCTGTTTGATTGTTCTGAGATATGCAACAATGGAGCAATGAAACAGACATTTAGTTCTCCTGTGAAGTCTGGACTTTATCAGCAATAGGTAATGAATCTTGACAGTTAATCATTATATGGTTTTGTGTGTCTGTGAATACGTCTACCTCTTTATCTATTTATAATGAGAGAAGGAATATAATGTCTATTGTACAAGAATAATACAGTACCTCATGCTGTCTACAAGTATACTATTTGAATAAAAGATAAATTAAAAGATAAAATATTCAAAAATAAGCATTTTTCATATAGTTATTTATTGAAAACTGAAATTTGTATAGTAGCAAATACAGCCACTGTCCACGGAACTTCCCACTTTAAAACCATAAATCTTCTCAAAGTGAAAAACTAGACTTCTAATTCACTGCATGGACACAGTACTGGTATTTATGAAGGAAAATCATCTTAGAGATACTACTTCCATGCATAGTTCTGAACTTTTTCCAGAAAGTTCACTGAATATTTTTTGGCCAGAGCTATTCAATCTTGACTATTTTCACACCAAGAATTAGTACAAACTCAATATTTTATAAAAATATTGTGGCTGAAGAATGAGCTTTCTTGTATTATTATTTTTAATGAAAATAATCACTTCTGAGATGGAAATAAATGATTCTTAGCCACACTGTGCTTTTAGTTTTGTTGATCTGAGTGAAACTATGATTTGACAGCTGCTGAGAGAACTGTTCAGTCTATACTCAGTATAAATCCCTGAAATATGAGTTTGTAGAGGCTACCAAGCACTCTTCATGTTCTATAGCAATGTGTTGAGATACATTTTATGTGGGAATACAGCTAAAATACCTTCTTTAAATCAGCACTGTCTACATAGATTTCAATTTTGTGCACTGTGTGTGTGTGTGAATTGGAAGAGTAAGGCTAATGACAAATAAATGAATGAATTCCATCATTTTGGAACATATATTGTCTTTTCTCTGCACAAATGGTATGAAAGAAGAAACTGAATATTTTCTCCTTTTTGTACCCTGTAGAGGAATCCAGTGTAGCAATAGAAATCAACAGTTCAGAAGGTGGGATGCTATCATATTGACATTGATGATAGGTCTACACAGTGGAAGAACTGAATGAAGTCTGATACATGGCCTCTTCTTTCTCAAAAGAAAAATCATACAAAAGAAAGTGTAACTTTAAAAATTATTATTAAGACTATCATCAGCAGTGTACACTTCAAGTAATACAAGTTCCCTTTTGCATCTTTTTGTTTCTGATAATTTCCATAATATGCATATTTACACGTACATAAAAGAAATAAATTTATATTTATCCACGTCTCAAACTTGTTTTGTCCAATATTAACTTTTGTTCCAAATTTGTTATTTTTATTTATTATATTTTCAGAATTAGAATAAGTAATGAAATTGATTAGAACAAGTTGTTAAAGATAACAGCAGAAGCATAATTTAATATTAAACTAGAAGCAAAAAAACACTTCAAAACAGGTAAGATTTTAAATTTTTGAGTATTTGAAGTTGTACACATGCAGTGTTTATGAATTTATTGTATTTTTATTTTACAGAGCATACAAAATATTTGTATGCTACAGAGTAGTAGCTCTTGTGGAATATATTTGAATAAAAAACCTTTAAATGCATCATTTTTCGAGTTAGTGCTATAAACCATGTCTTATTGTGACACTTACTCTTAAACAAAACAAACTATGGGAATTTAAGATTTCATTAATGTTGCTTTTACAGTATAAGTGTTGTGGTAGTCTGTTATAGAACCAGTTAAGAATCTATGACAGAAAAACTAATATTAGCATGTGGGAAGAAACAAATTGGTAACAAATCTGTCATCTGTATTAGGATCATAATATGTGCAGACTCTGAAATACTCAGTACAATTCAAAGATTTCATATTTAATTAAATGAACATATGTTGAAGACATCTTCAGAATTGTGACATTATAAGCCAATGTGGTCAGAAAGAAAATAAGCAAAAGAGGAGAGGTGAGGTGAAGGTAAGATGGTTGTATGTATGTTTGCATTGGCTTTTGCACCTTCACATTGTGAATCCTTCAGGCTGTGCCTGCCAAAATGTACATTTTATTAGATAAGAAATCTAGGATGCGTGTTTTTAAAAAAGAGGGAGTTTTCCTCTAGAATAGGAGGATTTTGAAGAGGTCCTTCAGACAAGCAGGTCTGGCTTTTGCTATTAGGTTGCTGTGTAGATCTTCCATATTTTTCCAGTGTAAATCAAGTTGAGAAGGGAATTTGTTTTAAACTGCCTTCAACATTTCCCACGACAAAGGATTCCTCTAGGATATCCTTTAAAAGGCAGCACTCTGGAGCTGGAAATTGGTGACTTTTCTGTGAAATACCTTAGAGACCCTTAGCTGACAATGAGATGGGGCTATCCCTGCTTTTTTTATTTTATTTTTTTAGTTTGTAGTTTTATTTTGACATTTTGCTTTCTAAACAACTGTTTAATCTCCGCTTTTCCATAATGAGTTGGCTATTTTTATTTTTAGGCTGATTTAGCATTCAAAGCATTGTAAATGAAAAGGAAAAACTGCTGATGCTTTTGTTTCTGCAGACGAAATCAATCCAAAAAAACAATCCCCAATCCTTGGACGCCCGCAGTCAAAGATAAATTTTGGAATTTCAGAGGTAAATTTGCTTTCAGGATAAAAGATTCTGTGTAAAGTCTGGCAGCAAGGGTAGGAAGATCAATCTTCTCTCTCAAGGATTGTCTAAGCATTAGCTCCACGTAAGAACAAGCATTTGAAAGTGTGACTTTGCAGAACCCCTTTCAAGCATAGAAGATCTAGCTAATTCTGCCCACTGACAGCATCAAGTTGTAAAGCAAAAGTGAATACATAGATGCTGATTGGAATTAGCATTATCTTTGCTTCAGTTCTTTCTCTGAAGTTTTATAGGTTCAATCTATATGTTACCAATGGAAAGGAATAGATGGGAGAAAAGGAAATACTTCTAAACTTCTCAGTTATTGTTAAATTACTGGTGAAATTATATTGTTTCAAATTAATTCATCTTACTTGTCATTGTTCACCCTGATGGGATATTCATCATCTACCTGAGCAGTTCTAGAATGGTTCTAGAGGGGTGGCCAGCAGGGACAGGAAAGTGATTGTCCCCCTCTACTCTGCACTTTGAGGCCCCATCAGTACTGTGTCCAGGTCTGGAGCTTCCAGTACAAAAAAGACAGGGGACTGTTGGAGAGGGTCCAGAGGAGAGCCACGAAGATGATCAGAGGACTGAAGCACCTCCCCTATGAAGACAGGCTGAGGGAGCTTGGCTTGTTCTGCCTGAAGAAAAGAAGGCTGCGGGGTGACCTGATTGCAGCCTTTCAGTACCTAAAGGGAGCCTAGAGAGGGGAGGGGAATCAACTCTTTGAAAGGGCAGATAACTGCAGGACAAGGGGAAATGGTTTTAAGTTGAGGAAGGGAAGATTTAGGTTGGATGTCAGGGGGAAGTTCTTTACAGAGAGAGTGGTGAAATGCTGGAACAGGCTGCCCAGAGAGGTTGTAAGTGCCCCATCCCTGGAGGTGTTCAAGGCCAGATTGGATGGGGTCCTGGGCAGCCTGGTCTAGCATTAAGTGAGGAGGTTGGTGGCCCTGCATGTGGCAGGGGGGATTGGAGCTTCATGATCCTTGAGGTCCCTTCCAACCCGGGCCATTTTGTGATTCTATGATTCTGTGATTCTGTGTTTTTGTTGTTGTTGTCATTTGTTTGGTTTTTTGTGTGTCTTATTTTGGTTTCCAAATGAACTTACCTGTAACTTGATTTCACATCTTTGTGTCTATATATATATATATTACACGACAGTGATGTGGAATGTGTAATTGTATTAAAAGCATATGTGGATGAACATTGCTTTCCTGCTTGGCCTACTGTTTCAGAATGTTACTATGGAAACCATCAAATATTTCCTTTCTACCCAGAATATAAGCACATTTAAGAAAATCAAAATCAAAACCATTCTTTGCTAATCTACTTCCATGTCTATAAGCATTAAGGAGGTTTTCACTACAGAAGATCCTTTCACTTGGCGCAAATGAAATTCAATCAACAGTTCTCAGGGAACAACTGTAGCTAAGGATAGTGAATGGATAAATTCCTCATGACATGTCAGTGTAGCATGTTTGAGTTAATAGGTCTCTTAATGATAGAGGAAGAACACTTTGAAGGTAAGAGAAGATTTTTGCACAGCTTCTCAAGACCTGGTAAATGTTAAATTGAGGGAGTGGTGGGGGTATGGAACAAATGCCTAAATGTCTCTCAAATTTTAAACAATATTTTTTGTTAGTTTTAATTTTTTATCTCTCTCTCTCTTTTTATTTTAATTATGTCTTCATATTTCCAAACCTGCACCTTCTTACTTTCCCTCACTTCACAACTTTGTGTCCCCAATTTCAACAAGTACCTTTTCAAAGCATCAGATTTTTCCCTCTTCTACTTTATGCTATTCAATAGATATTTAACAGCTATTTTTATTCTATGCCCTCTTTCAGAAGGTTTCCTTTTTTTATTTTTTATTTTTTGAAAACCAGTAAAAGAAGTTTAGCTTCTAGAATAGAAGTGTAACTTCTATTTCTTAAATAAAATGAGAGACAAGTCTTACTGAATTATTGGAATTGATTTAAGGAGTTGCTTTTTTTGTTTTCCTTCACAGACTCCTTTTGTAAGTTTGCTATTTTTGCTGGAGGAGTCTACAAAGTAGATGTGCTCTTCAGCTGCTTTGTCAGACTAAGCTATCTATATTGTCCTGTTTTAGAGCTGTAGATGGACTTATACATACGTGATCCTGGCTGAAAAATTCTGTGGGGTATAGAGATTACCCTCTCAGGCAAAGTGGTGTAAAATAATTTGGGACTGCTATTTTCTTAATTTCCATAGGACCATTTCATGAGCTGAAAGAGAAATGGAAAGATTACTTTTTACTTTAGTTGATGATGGAAGACTAAAAAATGAATTAATTTTCAGATTCTTGAGATAGTTGCATAACCTGTTACATCTGTAAAGACAGTTTCAAAACATCTGAATTTAAACTTACAAAGCTTTATTTCATGTAATCAATAAAAGAAAATGATTGCCTGTCAAGCAAGTTTAGAATTTTCAGTCATTAAGAGATGAGAAGGCTGTATCTAGAACTTAAATTCCATAAGAAAATAGAAGAAATAATAATAATTTAAAAAACCTGTTACATCTCCTTTGTGCTTTCTGTATGTTAGAAAGAGTTGGGCAAAGAGAAAAAAATATTCATTTAAAATTCAAGAATCTAACAATTTGTGTGAATTATCAAGTGATTTTCATGGTAGGTCTACACTCAAAATTGTCGTTCTGACACAAAAAATATTTAAGCCTTCCCTCCTTGTGCATTATTTTCAAAAGAACTGTCAATAGAACAATTGTTGATTAACTCAGTTAAGAAGCTGAAACCATGAGAAAACTATACTATATAAAAATCAAATTCATTATTTCAGCCAACTTGTGGTTCATGAACCCATACACAGATCCCTAATGCCTGCAGTCCCGAAGCTTTAACCTATACCTGATTTTTATAGCTTCACAGAATCAAAGGATGGTTGAAGTTAATCTTCTCTGGAGAATAGTGCAGCTCTCCCACTCGAGATCAACTAGAACAAGTTGCTCAGGGTCACATACAGGTGGGTTTTGAATATCTATGATTATGGTTGCATGTGGCAAATTTGTTATCCAATGAGGTGTTTAGAATTCTTAATGATACAGCTGAGGTTGGATGGAATTGATATGAGGGATGAGTGAAAGATCTTGATTTTAAAATATTACACAAAATTTAGTAATCTGGCACCTTTAAATTTTTCCCTACATGACTGTGAAATCAAAATGAATTCAACAGGTAATTACAATGGTTAAATAAAAGCTATTATGATGATCTGTATATAAAGTACACATTTACTGTAAAACTCAAGACACAGTAGCACATCGTTAAAAACAAAACAGATGCATAGTAAAATGCATAGTTTAAAAAATTCATTTAAATTTCAATTGTTTACTGAGATTAATATATCTATTTATAAAGTAAATGATAATGTGGAGACTGGTGAAGAAGATACACAAAGTCTCAAACAAAATCACTATGACTTGAACCCATCAACCACATAATGTACTCAGTCAATTACAGAATTGTTTTCCATTTTTATTCTGTAGTGCCTTTCCTTGTACTGCCAATGAGTAACTTGAAATTGAATGAATAAATCTGTCACAGTGATCCATAGACCACAGTAGAGTATCCACGCAAAGATGAACATCTCTAGGGTCCCAATCCAAAACGCAGTGCAAGGAGCAGAAAGACTGCTAAAGTTTTTGGATTAGACTTTACTGAGGTACTTGGTCTGTAATATGTAATGCCATGTTAGCGATGACAGGAGAGAAATTAGTTTTTCCTTTGAACATTTTTTTTCTCTGTAGGTGGCACCATATAGCATTTTTCATTTGAGGCAGGGATCGACTTCAGCAGTTTTATTATTACTGTGCACAGTTTTCCACAGAACTCCAGTACCCTCACAGAAAAAGATTAGATTTCCCACAACTGGTTATAACAATGTGAAACTCAGCATTTTCTATTCAGACAGGCCAAATCTTTTACATGGTTCAGCACACAGTATTTTAGGCACTTGGATTAACGTAAATGAAAAACAACAAAAAAAAATCATAACTATGGATTTTCTAGAATTTTATCACAAAATTATAAATCAACTACTTAGGTATGTACTTAGCTAAATCTAGCACACATTTCAGATTAGCTAGTAAAGTCTTGCAGTTCTACTGCCGGATAAGTACTTCCACTGACTGTAGCATTCCTGTTTTGGCATTTCTGTATATCCCGGGAAGAAAACTCCGTAGGTCTTACTTGTAATACAACAGATCAAACTGAAGGTGTTGTTTGATGTAAGCTAAAAAACTAGATTCAGTAAATTCAAATCCACAAAATTTGATACACAGAGAAACAGGGAGGAGCATGTACCTATTATTCTGTCTCTGAGAAATTGCTACTTACAGAAATTATAACCAGGAAGTGTCACACAGGCAATATGGATAGCTTTTAATCTATAGGGAAAGGGAGGTAGGAAAAAATGTCACTACCTTGAAAACATATGGCTACTTTTTTCTATCCTTTTGAAAATCTGTCTTTGAGGTAGGTGCTAACAAAAAATTTAAAGATGAGTTGTCTTGAGCTCATATCCTTCTGAACAGTAGTTGTATAGGAAAAAAACCCCTCTCATCTCATAGCGATGTTTTCCTAAATGGCTTTGTTATGTGAAAGATTTAGTATTACCTTTTTTACCTTTTACCTTTTACCTTTATTATTATTATTATTATTGTTATTGTTACTTGTAGCTTTAAGGTAAATTACCTTATGGTAGCTTGGTGGAAGATTTATTTACATTTTTAAGGAAAATATTAATGAATGTCCTGGTTTCAGCTGGGAAAGAGTTGATTTTCTTCATAGTCTTGTACGGTGCTATGTTTTGGCATTAGGAGAAAAAAAAAAACCTAATGTTGATAACACACTGGTGTTTCAACTGTTGCTGAGCAGTGCTGAATAAAACCAAGAATGTTTCGGTTTGAAAAGCTGAAAGCTTTTCCTACTGTTCTGCTAGTGAGGGACTGGAGAATACAAAGTGATGGGAGAGGACAGAACCAGGACAGCTGATCAAAACTGACTTAAGGGATATTCCATATCATATGACATCATGTGAAAAAAATGATAATATTATATTTAGGGAAGTTGGCTGGGGGACAGATGCTGCTCAGGGGTGGCTGGGCACTTGTCAGCAGATGCTGAGCAATTGCTTTGTGCATAACTTGCTTTGTAATTACGCATATACATATTATAATTGTTGTTATTTCTTTCTTCCTTTCCCATCTTAGTAAGTAGTTTGTAATCTCAACCTATGAGTTTTATCTATTTTTTCCAAATTTCTACGCCATTCTACTGGCAGGCAAAGGAGTGAGAAAAAGGCTGTGTGTTTAGCTGCTTGTTGGGTTGAACTATAACAATGAATCAGCTACAGAAAGAAAGAAATCAGCAAAATGTTAACACCTAGTGTTAATGTTGATTCTTAAGACCTAAGTTTAATTCCCTGTTCCATTTCAGCCTTATGTAACATGCCAAGATACTTTGAATGTTACAAAAATCTGCTTAGAGTTGTAGTCTTTTATTTAACAAGGACATTGAAAATGTTGTTAGAATTGGCAAAGATCATAGAATCATAGAATGACATGAATTGGAAAGAATCTTAAAGATTATCTATTTCCAACTCCTCTGCCACGGGCAGGAATACCTTACATTATATCAGTTTAGTCAAAGCCTTGTTCAGTCTGGCCTTGAAAAATTCCAGGGATGGAGTTTGCACAGCTTCTCTGGTTGTTCTTTTCCAGTGCTTCAACAACCTCACAGTAAATTAATTACTTCCTTATATCTAATCTAAATCAACTCTCTCTATTCATTTAACACTATTACCTCTTGTCCTGTCACTATACTCCCTGATAGACAGTTACAATTCCAATTCCATCAGTTCTCATTCAGCTATGGATCCACCTCTATGGGCTCTCTGTTACTCACAGGCTGGTCCTTCTCCATGTACTTGATGATGCTGAGCCTGTTTATCAGCCGCTTCTTGTTTGGAAGGGAATCTGTACTATTTCCTTGGAAGAAAAAGCACTAGTCTATCCAGTATGAAGATAGGTTCCCATTGGTGTTACTTACTCAATGACTAGAGTTCTTTCTGTTTGCAGGCTTCCCTTTTTTATAGGTCTCAGAACAGAAGGCATTGAGGTAGCTTGTGACATCAGGCCATGGTGATGAGATTCTAACTGTGTCCCATGGTCACCAGAACATGGCAGTGTTGGAAGTTAGAGCCTGTGACTGGAGTCATCCCAGTTATGAAGGAGGAAAGGCAAGGGTGCTGACGGTCCCCTTCCTAGGAATGGCTTCCCAGTGACATTTCTCTTGAATGACTTTCCCTGGCCAAGTTATGAGGTGTCCAGCTCCCTCTTTCTGTGGTTCTTTTGATGCCAACAGTGTCCCTGCAGAGTTGGAGGGTCTCCACTATCCTCAGGTGCCCAGCTAACTGTGAATGCAGCTGTTCTGGTGCCTAACAGTAATGATGAGGGGACAAAGCATACCAATATCCTGAAGGCAGCCCCAAGGAATCTCTCTTGTTGTATCTCTATGCCATTCCCTTGGGTGCTATTGCTTTCACTAGAGTGGAAATCAGCACTACCCTTCTGCTCCCCTCATGAGGAGCTGTAGTCCACCATGAGGCCTCCCCTCAGACTTTTCCTCTCTGGACTGAACTAACCAAGGGACCTCAGCCACTCCTCATATACTTTTGCCCTCTATAACTTTCAACATCTTCATAGCCTGTCTTTTGGATATTCTCTAATAGTTTTATCTCCTTCTTACACTGTGGCACCCAAACCTGTACCCAGTGCTGGAAGTGAGGCTGCACAGCATGGGGAACAGCAAGACAACCCCTCCCCTTACCTGGCAGGTAGCGTTGAGTCTGATGCATCCCAGGGTACTGTTGGCCCTTGGGGCTGCAAAGGCATACTGCTGGCTCATATTCAACTTGCTGTCAGCGAGAATCCCCAGATCCCTTTATGCAGGGCTGCTCTCAGCCTCTTGTCCCCCAGTCTGTACATATAGCCACGGTTGTCCCATCCTGGTGCAAAACATGGCACTTGCTCTCGTTTCTTTGTTACTTTATACAAGGTACCACTTTGTTGCTTGCGTGTTATACAGAGACCAAGAAAGTTATGAATTTGATAGTTGGACTTGATGATCGTGAATGTCTTTTCCAACCTAAATAATTCTATGATTGTAAGATATTGATCAGTCTGTCAAAAGTGAGAAATTCTGTAGAGATCTTTAAGAATCAGCAAGCTAGGGGAAAATAAATAAATAAATAAATAAATAAATAACTTCAATCAAAATTATGTGCAAGGTTTCAAAATCACCAATTTGTATTTAAGTATATAAATTCTCCATAGGCCTACTTCATGTGGCCAAGTCCTTTTTTTCTGATGTGGTATCTCTTATTATATATCTGCTTCTTCCACTTTTTTTCTGGGGGATATCACAGAGGATTTTGCAAGAGATATGCAGTCATAAGTCTATCTCCATTCATCTGCAGACAGGATTTGGTCTGCTCTGAAAGATCTGATAACTTCATCAACTCCTGTCTAAACAGAGAAAATATTCAGGAGTTCTCAGCTGACCACCCTGAGCTAGATCCAACCAGCCTGCACACAAGATTAGTCTGGGATCACATCCTTTGTATCCTAGTTCCTGATATACAGAAATAGCTAAGTGAGGTAACTAACCTCAGAACAGTTACTGTAAAGGTAAGTGCAGTGAATTCACTTACATACTCAAATACTCTTTTGAAGCTCTAGGAAGTAAATGTACATAAACATATACTTCTTTAGAACATTTCTGTCAAATTTTCCAGCGCATTAAGAGTTTTAAACTGAAAGGAAGGCCCTCATTGTGAATGCACAGCTCAGTTCTAGCCCAGAATGTCTGTGCTTTATGGGCTCAGTAGCCTTCAAAGTATTTAAAAAAAATATATTCCTAGTGCAATCAGATTTTATGAAGTGGCAAATTAATCTGTTTTTTGCTAGGGAATGATTCAGAAGAAGTCTTTGCCATGAACTTACATAAAGAAAAACAACATTCTCAAATAGCAAAAACTGTGCAGGAAGGCTCAAGTTGTTGATAACAGTTGAAATATTGTCATTTCCTGCAGTGACTTAAGCAAATTTAAATTATATACACGTGCATTTTTATTTCCTTTAAAGATGGTAGAGTTAAAACTTCATTAAATTTAAATCAGCTAAAATACTGATAATAAATCAGCTAAAATGCTGGTCATAATACTGTTAACTTATGAAAATCTACAGAAAAGCAGCAAAAACTCACCATGAAAAATGAGATACAACTTAAATTGTAGCCTTATTTTGCAAGGCTATGGAATTAATAATTTTAGCATCTTGGAAAAAAGGAAATTTATTTCTCATCATGTTTCATAAAACAAGCTTCTATTTCTTGTTGATTCTTCTAGCATGTTTAGTCTTTCTTCCTATTTTTACTTCTCATGAGAGTGTAAAATACAAATGCTCTAATCTTGGTTTCATTTGAAGATCTCTTACCTTCCTTTCTCTCAAGATCTCTACTTTGCTTCTTCCAAATGGTTATCACCACTAGCTTTTCAATAGCCACCTTCTATCTCATTCAACTGTGCATCCTGATTTACTTAATTTTTGCATTACCTGTGACAACCTTGTATTAAGTGCATTACTTTATTTTTTTTTTTCATGTTCCAAGGCAACCTGTTTTATGTGCATATCCTGGCAGTAGATGTTGTATCTGCCAAGGAGTTAATAAGATTTTAATTAATTTTCTTAGTGATTCTAATGATTCAATACTTTGATACTGAGAGGAGTGTCTAATACAAAGCAAATCTGTGGCAATAGAACAAGGGGAAATGGGTTCAAGCTCAGGTAGGTTTAGGTTAGATATAAGGAAAACATCTTTTAAAGTGAGGGTAGTGAGGTACTGGAACAGATTGCCTAGTGTCATGGTTGATGCCCCATCCCTAGAGACTTTCAAAGTGCAGCTGGTTCAGACCCTGAGCAACCTGGTCTGGTTGTGCATGTCCCTGTGCATTGCAGGAGAGTTGGACGAGATGGTCTTCAGAGATACCTTCCAACTCTAAGCATTCTATGATTCTATGAAATGTTTACTAATTATTACTTTGACACTTCATTAGACTCACTAATTCACTGCTGTAATCTAAAAAATTTGTTCAGGTATTAACTTCCTTTTGGCTCTTGTATTTTTTAGTCATATAGTTAAGCTATGCTTTGAAAGAGTCCATTTTCTGAATTAAAAAGAAAAAAAAGAAATAGAAGATCTAACTCGACATACCAAACAAGACTAGTAAGAACTTTTGTGTATACTTCAGAACTGCAGTGTTATTTCAAAGTAAAATGTGTGAAAATGGGAAAAAAAAAAAAAAAAAGAAATATTAGAGCTGAGTGTCAAGAACAATTCATTATAATAATGAATATTTAATTCATTTTTGAAAAGACAAAAAATTACAGTCATAGTTGGAACATAGGAACATAGGAAATTGATTTGTAACTTGAAAGTAGAGTGTCATTTAAAATAAAAGAGAGAAATCTCCTTCCTTAAGCCAAATGCAGTAAAGTACTTAATCCCTTGCATAATTTTCAGCTCATTATTAGTCCTGTTGTCAATGAATGATCATGAGATCATGTGACTGAACTTTAAACATAGGATTATATATATTTTTGGTGAATAATAATCAACGTTTCTAGTTTCTCTTTTGAAGTAAAAAAGCATAATACTTCCTTTGTTATTAATCTTTCATTATATGCAGCCATTCCTGAAGGTAAAATTGACTTTAATTCTGCTCTTTTTTTTTTTTTTTTTTTTTTAATACCAGCAAATACAGGGATAAAGTAAGCCTTTCCATTTTATGAGCATTATCCAGAAATATATATGTATTACGACACTTCTAAAAGTAAGCATCCTAAAATACACTTTATTTTCTCATGAATTTGCAAACTCAAAAGTAACATATGCCTTCCTATCACTGTAACATGTGTGTTTTATAATATAAAGTTTATGATTAAAGAAAGCATGCAAGTACTCAATCCTTAGAGCTGGTAGATAGCAACTTTTTAAAGTAGAAATACATTCCAAATGGATTGTCTTAAAAAAAAAAACAAAACTGTTCTAAACCATTTTACTGCAAGATATATGATACAATGGAGTTCCTTTAACTATGTATAAGTTATATATATATATATTTTATATATAATACATATATAAAAATATATGTATTATCATTGCAAATATCTTGATATGGGTTCTAAAATAATATTTCTTATTTTTAGAGAGGTAGCTTTCAAGATGGTAGTGCAGTTCCTTCTAGAGTTCATTTTCATTTGAGTAGAACTCAGAAATTAAATGCATATTTCTTACTTCCTAGAAATCAAGATTCTTCATGCTTTGATTATTTTAATGATGGTTTTTTCATTACTCCCTGGCTTGCATTTATGATTTTTATTTTCATTGACTTCATCTTGTGACAGAGCACATATATATGCTAATAAACTTGTTCATTCTTATCCTTTAGATTAATTTTCTCCTATATTTATTTTATATTATGGGATATGATATAGAAAAAAAGTGGGGCAAATGAAGAGCCCTATTTCCATCATGGCTTATAAATTTTATATTAAACAGCTGAAGATGGGAATTATTCTGAATTTAGGCCCACATTTGTCACTTCCTTAGTAGGTACTGGATTGAAAAATAGGAAATATGGCTTTAAACATTCTCAGGCTGAAATTAACATAGATCTCATAATCCAGCTTCGAGAGTATTTTCAAAACCTCACATCTCTTATATAAATCCTAGGCTGTGCCATGAACACTGAACTCCATATTATCTGAATTCCCTATTATCTAACTGGTTGCACTCCAGTCAGTGTGAATGTGGTTTTGAGATTGCTTTGCAAGTGTTCCCAATTCTTTACATGTGCTGAAGAGTGAGCCCAGGCACATAGTTTCAGGTTTTACCTTGTACCTTGTGGATTAAGCAGATGGTAAGATGCTTGCAAGTGCCTAATCTTTTTTGGCTCTCCAGCAGAAATGTTGAGTCATGACTTGAACCAGTGATTGAGCACCTGATGGGAAGACAGAGCCAACCCAGGGGAGCTCAGGTGCATGCAATGAGCCTGAATGACTGGA